ACAATCCAATGCGTGAGAAGTTGTGAACGGGGTGTTACAACCATCAAAGTTGGTAGGAGTGTTCAATAAAGGTTTTAGGTACCTAAGACAGAGAGCATCTCTAAACTCATTGGCTGATAAATCAAAATGTTTCTGTTGAATAGGAAGGGCATTGAGCCAAGATGGTAATGATTTACAATTACGTAAGATTGCTCTCTTATTGTTAATTTTTGTAATTTTTTGAATTTTTGAATTTTTTTATTATGAGTGTTATAATATTTTTCAATTATTTTATTTTTATTTTTGGAATTTTTTCTGAATTTTTTCCAACAGCGTGTGAATATTTTCGGATTTTTTTAGAACTAAGAACCCTGTCAGCAAACACTCTCATCGATTCATACTCAATCCCTCTAGGACGTTGAGAGCTACGACCCAATCCTGAACCCTGTCCTATCTTAGACGACAACAGGTATCCCCAATTCTAATTATACATGTAGTAACTTCTAATTATAGTAACAACACATCTAATTATAGTAACAACTATTACATGATGTAATCATTAATGTGTTTATTTTTAGAATCATCACTAATATTAGTAACAATACATCTAAATATAGTAACACTTATTACATGATGTAATCTTAGTTGTGTCTATTTTTAGAATCATTACTGAGCTTGAGACTCTTAAGGAAGAGGCTTCAGAAATTCAGAGGAAGATGGAGGAGACTGATACTGTAATGGCTGAAGTTGACAGAGTCTCCCAGCAATACCTGCCTCTCTCCACCTCCTGCTCTGCCATGTACTTCACTCTGGAGTCACTCAATCAGGTAATTGAAATCATGTGACTGTCGTTTGATTTAGCGGTACTTTATTTTGATGGTTTTGCTTGAAAAATACATTAGGCCAGCTTTTAATTGGCAAATTTGTCCACGCATGTATTACTAAACATTTCACTATTGAAAATTTTGATTGCAAAATGCCAAAAAAATTAATGTAAAAATCCCTGTATACATGTACATGTACATGTACAGGGATTTTTTCAGAAATTGGCATATTTTTTAAATGGTCATAACTTGAAAAATTTAATTCGGAATCAGCTCAAACTTTGTACATAGCATAAGTACATCAATTTGTATTGAAAAATTTAATAAAAATTGGTGATGATTTTTGAGCCATTTTTTGGAAAAAAATCATGGGCTGTAGTACAGGAATTATTTTAGAATTTGGCATTTTTTTAAATGGCCGTAACTTGATAAATTTAAGTCGGAATCAGCTCAAACTTTGTACATAGCATAAGTACATCAATATGTATCAGAAAATTTAATAAGGATTGGGGGTGATTTTTGAGCCATTTTTTTGGAAAGAACTATGGCTATAGTACATGGATTTTTTCAGAAATTGGCATATTTTTTAAAATGGCCGTACCTTGAAAAATTGTGACCATAATTGACAAAAGGTACCTTATGGCGGGTAGGGAAATTTGTCTTTCTAGCCTAAGAAATCCAACTTCCTGATCCCCATTTATCATAAAATTACTCCACAGGATGCAAAAAGTTACCATGAAACTTTTAGAAACAATGATTGTCTAACAAAGCACTCACAGGTTGATATTTTCCATTATAATGATGATTTTTAAAATCCGCCATAAGGGCCCTTTTGTCAATTATGGTCACAATTTAAGTCGGAATCAGCTACACAGTATAAGGATATCAATATGTATCAGAGAATGTAATAAAATTTTGAGGTGGTTTTTGAGCCATTTTTGGAAAAGAATAGGTGCTTTTAGCTTTTCCTTTTTTTTGGAAAATTTACTATTTTAAAAATTGCTGCATATTCAAAA